TGTATATTAGTATATATACGCGTCATACGTATAATAGTTAAAACAGTTGAAAGTTCTCTGGAAGACAGCAAGACTCTTTCCTGTCTTGGATATCTCCTGTATTTCAATGGGCAGTAATATAAGCCAACATCTTTAACCAGGCAGTGGCTGTGTGTTTGCTTTCCTTGAATGTCAAGAGTTCCAATTTGCAAAAGTGCTAAGCATTAAAAAGGAACGGAATTCAAGAAGAATTTCACTCGGAATATATCACCTGTTCTTATACTAAGTATGATAGTTTCACCTCAGCCCACAGGGAACTTATCAACAATAAGTCTGTAGAGCATTAGAGGTTAGATGTCTTTTTTATAAAAAAAAGGTAGCCCCCTCTATAACCCGAAAGGTGATAGAGACCTAACAGCTCTCCTTATTTCAACAGATTCAACACTACAGCTATTACGGTGTAAGACAAATCCAACCAGGAAATCAAACCGATTCTGCGTGGCTGATCAAATCTGATACCCTGACATGCGATCCACCCCACAACAAACTAATGTGTTTAAAAGTGGGCCTAAGTACAAAACACGTCCTCTTATGTTTAGGCTTTATTTAATACTGATGCTGCTGCTCAGCCCCTGCCCTGGCTGCACCAGCTTGGATTCGGAAGCACTACTGCCAATTCAGATCAGCACTAACTCGAGGATCTCCATGTCATCTTATACCCTTCTAGTACATGCTGCAGTGATGCCTCAATATCCCAGGTAACTAGGAAGTCAAGACAAAACTGTACCCTAAGCCAGATTCAACCTACAAGCCATTCATGATACTCCTACCTAACTGTAAGCAGCTAATTGCTCCATTGTTTCCTTTTCTGGATTCTGGAAATTTGCAATTAGGCATAGTTTTCACATAACCTATATGAAGCAGTGTTTTAAATCCTCTCTCTTTTCCCATTCACAAACAAAAAGTAGGTTCATTCAGTAATTTTTATCTTTGTTTCCCAAGGAAACGAAGGCTACACAATTAAGCGGCTCGTTTCCTGCCCCATCCTTCCATTGTTTACTATTTTGTCTTGGCTAATTTAAGACAAAATTGACAGAAAGTTTTAAGAACTTAACACATTTATTTAACATTCCATGTTTTATAAACATCACCAGTCAAATACAACACAAACACAGACCCCATTAAACACAAGGACAGCCCACTGGCCAAAAAATCCCTGCATAGCAGCACACAGAGCTGCAGATGCCTGCTCCAAACCAAACCACTGGCAGATGAGGAAAGAGAAGGGGTCAGTCTTGTCAGAAGCATCAAAGAGATTAGGACACTTCAGAGACACTCAGGAGACGCAAGAACAAAATGATCAAAAACACAGATACATGGCAAGGACCTCGGCCTCTACATCAGGAAGAAGTGTTAAACTGAAAGGATCACCGGGGAAGGACATGGGAAGTCATGTTCATTAGTCTCACTATCAATAACTTATTCGATAACAGCACCAAGGTGTAATTCTTCCTTCTCTACTAGATTCCTCTTACCTGGCTGGCTTAATTATTCTCTTAAATACAACTTCTCAGTTCTTAACACCAAACTCCTCACAACATAAACCATAGGAAAGAGTTTAAATTTGAAAATAATTAACTCGTTCTGAAAAGATTAATCTCTAGATGTATTCTGCTCCTTGAGAAACATAAGCCTCTGTATAGCCTGTACTACATTAGAGCACGTTCAAGTACGGACCAAAATTATGGTAAAAGTAGATTCAAGAGGCTATGCGAGATATGCAATTCTGCCTTAGGTTATAAAGTATCTCACCTGCGACCTTTTACATTTCTTTTCCCTCCTCCATGCAATGCAATGTAGTTTCCATTGCTAGCTCCTCATCCAGATCTCAATTCAACAGACCTCTCAAGATGCCAAAGCTTTGCTATTGCTCAAAAGAGGAAAAGCAGCATAGAGAAATCAAGGCAATGCTGCCATAAGGATCATTGCCGCAGTCATGCTGAAGAGTTCTCAAAGGTGACTCCTCAACTTTCTCCCCAATCCCAGCAAACTGCCACAAGACTCCAGGACTGGGCAGCTGTACGTGGGAGCATTTTAACCTCGGATTGCCTGTCAGTCTGGTCTTACTACTGCTTTCAGTTTGGTCTTACTCTCTACCACATTTGTCACCTTCCTGTTCTGTTACTCTATTTATTAGTTTAATTTAATCTTTCCCTGTGAAAAAATGGAAATGTTAAGAAATAAATTACCTTGCATCACAAAACAGAGCTCCTAGCTAATACTAATTTTGTTTTGGGGGATAACTACACAGAAATAACAAACGCAAATACAATTCTTTAATCTCATTTGTGCCAAAACTTTTCCATTTGGGTTGTTCTCTCTTGTTTCTTCATAAATCTGAGACTGCCTGACTGACGCAAACTGTAACCTGATGTGTTTATAAACAAATACAAAAGGAACATGTTTTAACGTGACATTAACTTTCTAAAGAAAAAGATGTCATTATTCCTGCAATCACTAGATGAGGGCTTTGAACCCGATCACATCAAGAATACTTGTCTTTTAGAAGTCTGTCAGTGGTCATAACAAAGCATTGACACTGTCTAAAAGGGTAATGGCCACTGGCCATGGCCAGTGGCTCCCTGGTTCTCTATAACACTTGCTACAAAAAGCCTCACTTTCACAAAAACTTTGGGGTTCACTGTTAGAACCACTGTCGGCTGCTTTACTGACAAAGTGACATAGGAAATGGTACTTAAAGGTTTTTAAGAACAGCCAAAGGCAGCTAACAAATTCTATTTTGAGTTCTTTTAATTTTGTGCACTCTTCACATCTATATCCTGCTTTGAAGGGGTTTAATTCTTCAAATTCTTCAGTTTTCAATCTTGCTTATTTCCTGTGCCTCTACCAAACAAAAAAAAAAAAATTGGCCAAATCCTGTGCCTTTAAAACTGAGCAAAGTATTTTCTCTGTTTACTTAAATACATTTACAAATTTACTTGGACACAATGCAAATTCTGTATTTTGACAGTTTAGACTAGAAATCCCATGGTTTGATGCCAACTTCAAGAGTTAGTATTTAACCAAATCAAATTCATATTTTTAAGCACTGCTGGCCAGAACACAGTACTGCTAAACAGTGCAGTCAAGGCAAGGCACTGTTGCACAAACAGGAGGGAGAGAACATCAAGATAATCAGCTATTCAGTTGAAAACAAAGAGGAGGATGCATGCCTGCTACAGACTACAGCAGAAAAACACATTGCATTTGCTGTCTTCAGGAAGAGTACTAAATCAAAGCCCAGCAGACCACTTTCATGATTGGATTTTTTTTTTTTAATCCTTCCTCTGCATTTAACTGTAAACTATGCACCCAATTTTCTCAAAAGCTTAAGTCCCATTTTGAATATTTCATATAAGTATCTACAAGAGCTGGGCTATTTCTAAAGTCTGGCCATAATGAGAAGTGTTTTCAAAGGTTACATTGCTTTATTCATCCATGATTATTTGCTTTAACTTTTAAGAAGTAATACCCTAAATCCTCTGAAAATATTACACATGAGTTTCACATACTGTGAATATTTTCAGATCTAACAGATTCCCACAGATTTCTGGGATAATGCTGCTTAAAATGAAATCAGAGACAGATTTTGAAGGACTGATAATTTCTTTCTGAGCTCGAGTTATGTAAAAAGTCCAGACCCAGCAGAAATTTTTTGCTATCTTCTTGATAATATTGAGGGGACTTTTCAGCAGAAAAGAACCCAGCCAACTTAAAGCTGGCCAGCTCAGACTCCTGGTGTGCACAGCTTCCAAGACAAGGTGAACACGCAGCTCTGCTTGCGCAGTGCAACTTCTCTTTACAGAGGCCTAAATTACTAATCCAGGGAAACTGACAGCAGAGGAGCATCCCACATGCGAAACAAACGAGAACAGTTTGTTTTTCCCCCTCCCTCACTGTTTTCCGAGATTCTTTAAGTTATAACAACAGATGCTTTCAGAAAGAAACACCTCAGTCGAGGAAGCTGCATACCTTAGCATCTTCTCTGCTTGGAAATTAAGTTCTGGGATTTCTTATTTTTTTAAAAGGATTTTTATCGAGGTGTAAAATTGCTCTCAGAATCGAGAGAGGAGATTTCAGAGCAAAGCTCCTAAGTCTTGTCTTTGAGGATGATCATCTCCCAAACAAACCCAACAAGTGTCTCGAACATCTCGCTCCTTTGTTGTTGTTGTTTCTAAGTAATGACTAGAAAGATCTGCGGACACCAGGCTCCTGTGCAGCCTGTTAGCTCCAAGCAACCGGCAGAGAGCGGGGAGCATCCTTCGCCTGGGGACTCAGTTTTCAGAGACTCAGGGGCCAGGAAAGGGCCAGTGAGTTTTAAAGCAGTTGGCAAAGTCCCTGCGGGAAGGGTGGAAAGGGCTGTGCATCTCCAGCACCCACATTTTCGGCCCGGGCGCGGGTCTGGGACCCGGCGGCGGGCAGGGGCGGCAAAGCCCCGGCCCCGGGGGCTGCACCGCCCGCCCCCGTCTCCCCGACAGCGCAAGGGCGGCTCAAGGCACGGGGGGATGGATGGCTTCGTCCTCCTCGGGTCCTCGCACGCCCGGCATCCCCGGGGCAGGAGGCGGCGGAGGAGGAGAAGGAGGAGGAAGAAGAAGAGGAGGAGGAGGAAGGATGCCGGCCACCGTGCCAAGGATTTATTTACCCCTGCCCGGCTCCTGGGCGCGGAGATGGGAGGAGGGAGCACCACGCTCACCTCTCCCCCACCAGCAAACAGCCCCGGCACTGTACCCCCCGCAGCCGGGCCGAGGGGGACGGGGAGCAGAGGAGTCGCCCCCCGCCGCCCTCCCCGGCTGGGGGACCACTCGCTTCGGTGCGCCCCCACCTCCCGCCGCGGTGGGAGCCCTCCCTCCCCCCGGAGCCGCCCCCCCTGCCCGTGCCCGGGGGAGGAGAAGGAGAGGAGGGGGCTGGGGGAGGGGAGCGGTTCGGGGCGAGAGAGAGGAGCCCGTTATTGGCCTACTTACCATCAATCGCCATGATCCCCGGCGGGGTGGGCCGTACCAAGCGGAGGGAGCGCACGCAGGAGAGGCGCTGCCGGGCGCCGCGGATGCCAGGCGGGAGCGGCGGGAGGGGCGGGCGCGGCGGGAGGGCCGGGCCGGGGCGGGCCGGGGAGGTGAGCGGGGCGGGGCGGCCTCCGGAGCGTCAGCGCTCCCTCCGCCGCCGCCGGCCGGCCCCGCCCGGCCCCGGTGAGGGGAGTCCCGGGCGCCTCACGGCTGCGGGGCGGAAACGCCGCTCCCCGTCAGGGGAAGCTCCTGGCGCTTTCCGCGGTTCTGTTCCGCGGGTTTCCTTTCCAACAGCGATTGGCTGGAACAGAAGCCGAGGCTCCGAGGACACTGGTGTCAGCCAAGCCGTGCTTCTCAAAATCACAAGAATATGCTGAGTCGGAAGGGACCCACAAGCAGCATCGAGTCCAACCCCTGACCCTGGGCAGGACAGCCCCAAGAGCCACACCACGTGCCTGAGAGCGCTGTCCAAACGCTTCTTGAACTCTGTCAGCCTTGGTGCTGTGACCACTTCCCTGGGGAGCCTGTCCCAGTGACCAAACACACTCTGGGTGAAGAACCTTTTCCTGATATCCAACCTAAACGTTCATTGACACAACTTTATGTCATTCCCTTGGGTCCTGTCACTGGTCACCACAGAGGTGAGATCAATGCCTGCCCCTCTACCTTCCCTTGTGAGGAAGTTGTAACTGCAATGAGGTCTCCCCTCAATCTCTTTTCCAGCCTGAGCAAATAAAGTGACCTCGGCCACCTCTCCTATGGTTTCCCCTCAAGGCCCTTCACCATCTTCATTGCCCTCCTTTGAACACTCCAGTAGTTTAATATCTTTCTTACATTTTGGTGCCCAAAACTGCACACAGTATTCAAGGTGAGGCTGCACCAGTGCTTCCATCAACACCTCCAGAACTTCACTCCCCCAGCACCTGTTGTCACATGCATGTGGCATCCCTGTGTGCACATATATTTGGCCACACCAAGGGCTGTACAACCCTGTAAAAACACTGAAAAAAGTCTTGCTAAGTAAAGCCACTGAAATAGCACCATTGAAATTACACATGCCACCTTCACTTGCTCCAGATCTCCTGTAATACATGGCAGCATGGTCACAGACTCTGTTCCTCCCATCACACCTCTGACTGACTTGGTGCACTAGGAAGATGGCATTTGAGCATGGATTGGGATCCTGTGTCTTCTGTTTCTAATCACAGTGTTCTGTAACTGTAGTCTCAATCTCCTATAGTTTTGGGGGCATAAAACTGAGAGAACACTCTCACGTGGAGCCACATTCACAAAAGACTTGCTTGGTTGACAAGAAGCTGGAAATGACCTGGCAAGGTACAATTGCAGCCCAGAAAGCCAGCTGTATCCTTGGCTGCACCAAAAGGAGCATGGTCAAAAAGTCAAAGGAGGGGATTCTCCCCCTCTACTCCGCTCTCATGAGAACCCACCTAGAATACAGTGTCCAGCTCTGGGACTCCCAACATAAGAAGGATGTGGACCTGTTGGAGTAGGTCAACAGGAGTTGTTAGAGCCTCTGGTGCTATTCCTTCCTCTGTCCTACCTGCCACAGGTCCTTCCTCTCCCTTCCATGACTTTTCCTCAGTTCTCTTATACTTGTACCATCTTCTCTTTCCCGAGGGTCTGGAATTGTTGTCCCACCCAGGACATCCTTCTGCTATGCTCTTCTCCTTGCCTGCCAGAAGCTCCATGCAAAAGGACCATCACAGTGAGCAAAGAGGACAGGGTTTCACAAGGCCCTGAAGCATTTACCACAAGGATCTTGGGATCCAGAAGGACATCTGAGCCAGGCTATGCATGGCTCCTGTGACTACCAGAGAAAACAGCCAAGCAGATAGCTTACATTATGGACCTTACATTGTAATCTTTTATAGGATGTAGGTCACATATAAAAGTCTGTTACTGCATCAGAAAGTCTCACTAGCATTTGGAGCTATAAGGAAACATGTTAGTACATGCAAACAGGTTTTTCAGACATGTATGAACTGGCCAAACACAGGAAAATTTTCACAGGATGGTAAGAAAGAATGTCTTTGGTCCCAATATCATCTTTATGCCCAATGTTAAGTCACCATTCAAATCCTAGAAGCATTAATCTCCTTCAGCCTAGCAACCCTCAGAAATGTTTTCTCATGTGAAAAAAAATCAATGTGTTTTCTTGATTTTGTTCTTCACCTCGGTTAGAAAAACAAAACTTAAAAGTGGGGTATTTAAAATCAAAGTCAGTTTGACCAAAATGACCATCTTGGAAAACACAAGTCCCAAATGACAAACATTTGTCCAGACCAGAACCAACTGTAAAAAGGATCTTAGAAGAGAAAATGTCAGCAGAGCTTAATGGCAAATAGATTTCTCTGTACCAGCACTGACATTTATCTCCAATACCCTGATGATTTTCTGTTCTTTCCTAGAAAGTGTTCCAGCCCTGAAATTTTCTGTACCATTCATGCTGATGGCCATCTTTCTCATGAAATTACTGTACTGAGCATAGGGATGAAGATTCCTTAGGGATCAAGTATGTAGTTGGAGTTGTTATTCTTCTGTACTGCTTTTTTTTTTTTTATTTCTCCCCCTGCTTTTGGCAGCATCCCCATATGAAAGAACTACCAGTCAGATGTCACCAAAACTTCCTAGGGCACAGACATCCACCCATACAGAATCCAGCATGCAGTTTGTAGGATGTTTAAAAAGTCATCTGAAATTTTTGGACAGCCTCACATATCATCACATTTCTGTGATTCATGTATGCAATTAACATAATGGGATGCAGAACTTTGTGTCATTGGACAAACTGTTTTTGAGGGTGAAGAAGTGAAGAATGAATATATGTTTGAGGGTTAGTGACACTACAACTGGAATTCTTGGTCCAAGCTTTTGGTTTCAAAATGCAAAAGAAACGCAAAATTTCTACTAAAGTAATGTTGTGCTCCCTTTGGAAAACCAGTTTCAGGATACAGTGAAACAAACGTGATTCCACATCAACAAAGAAATGGCGTGAAAAGTATGTGTAAGGAACCAAAACACGACTTTTCAGATCTATGCTGAATCAAATCAGTTCTATTTGTGCTTTTCACAAGTACATGTTTAAAATTTCTATGCTGTATTCAAACAGCAGATACTCCTGCCCACCACCATAAGAGTCTCATTTTTTTTCAGTGTAACCAGGAAGGACAAATCTTGAACAAACTTACAAAATTCAACTATTTTTATTTTGTTCCTGTGGTGTAATTGCAACAGTATAAGCTATAGCTTCATCCATTCTCTGCGTAAATGCAATGCAACTGGTCAGTGTCAATGTGTCAGAGGCTTTCTGCTGTATCCAGTGGGCAATTCATTCTGCTGGAAGCATTTACGTGTGATCCCACAAATCTGCCCTTCACAGAAAAGCACAGCTGGACACAAACATGACTACAGCTCAATGCCAGACCTTAAGTTATGGCGATAAATCCATAATGCACAAACAATTCACAGATTATCAAGGTTTTCCCGTCAAAGGGAAGAACTATCACCTATTGTGACAACAAATTTGCCAACAGCAAGACAAGTAACTGACACAGACAGGATAACTTTTATCCCATAAGGCCTAAACTGTTCAACAAACACAGGAGAAACTTCTCCCACTGCACTGATGTGAAGCCACTTGAGCAATTAAAACTAAAAGCTGCTGGAAACTTATGGATGAGTGCCATAGGAAGAAAAATACATTAAAGAACATGAAGGTCTCAGTAACTAGGAAAACAAGTACAGTAATAGAATATTATGTAAGTATATGTATGAGATAAAGTATATTTGTATGTTTATTAGCATATAAATATATATAGCTGAGAAACCTGATATAGGGAATGGCATCCCTGCCCAGAGCAGGAGGGTTGGAACTAGATGATCTCTAAGGTCCCTTCCAACCCAATGTATTTATGATGCATAGCATCCGTGATAATTACATTATAACACCAAGTCTGTTTAAGGTAGTGCCATTGTCTATATACATGTTGTGTGTGTGTGTGTTCATCATGTAAAAATATTTGCATTTTCTGAGTAGAACTCTGCACTGGTTTTTCTTAAAGTGAGAAAATATTTTATGTGCAATTACCTCAGAATTCTAAATTATCTGATCCTCGTTAGAAGCTGATTCTTTGCACATTTAAGGCATGGTCTTTGCCAAACCTTTTGGATTTTGTCTTTCACTTTAGCCATAATCCTAGTACTAAATCAGATCGGATTAAAGAGTCTGTGCCTCATTAAGACTTAGAATATATGAAAACTATAGCTTGTATGAGTGAAAAGACTAACTGAAGGTTTAGAAAACACAGGCTATCAGTAACCAGAAAGGTTGAAGCCCTAGATTAGTAATCTTGTAATTAAGACGCCAGACAGATAAGCTATCTATAATTGTCATGATGTGAACAAAGTGAGTTCATGATTGAACAAAGAGTGGAAGAAAATTTCCAACAGCTGGATGTAAATTTTCCAATGGAATGTTGCCAGTCATTTCACTGAAGTGCCACTGGGGAGGAAGGCAAAATATGCAATGTCTTGCATTTCAGAAAAATACTTTTAATCACAAGACTTTTTACTTTATATTATATTTTAACATAATATTGACATTAAAATGAACCATCTTGATTTTATCAGTATAAAACCCTTTAGCTAGAAAACTCACTCCTTTGCTGAAATGTCACTTAATAGGGTGCTCCAAAACTGTGTGTGCACATGTACCTGCACATCCCTGTATGTGTGTGTGCGTGCGCACACTTTTTCTCTGCTTGTATTTCAATCTGGAATAAAAACAGGTCTTGAAAGAAGATATCAAAACTCCCACAAAAATGACATTCTGTTTTTCTAACCAGGAGCCTTACGAAAGCTCCAGCAAGAAGCACAACGATATGCAGCTCCAGGGTATTCTATCCTTGTGGATCGTTTACAGGAATGCAAAAAAATTGGTGTGGCAATGTTGAAGAGACTAACTCAAAATCCCTAACCCATAATGTTGAAGTTAAAACACA